GTCCGCATTAAAGAGAAACACATGTGCGGAAAGCATGTTTTGGCACTGGATATAACTGGGACACGGTTTTTGCAGAGTTAACAGTTCTGCAGAGGCGTTTCTTACATGCCATTCAACGGGAGGCAGCTTCCACATTCGTTTCAGATTTTTACGGAAACGAACTTTAAATAAATAACTCGCAGCCAGGGAATTCTTTTTTTCCCCCAGTATAACGTTTCCGTGTGTGTCTACGGCAGCCCGTGGTGCCGAGGCGACGTGCCGAGACACGTTTCTGGGAACAATGAGATCATGTCTCGTGGACGGGCCTTGCAAATGTAAAATGAGATTAAGCAATGAAAGTGGAATGTCAAATTTCATTGAAGTCGCATTATGCAGACTGATCTGCTCTAATTTTGCTCATCAGACGTCGCTTTGCCTGTGGTGTAAAATTGTGTATCGTGTGGGGATTATACCGAATGTCAGAGCGGCGTTTCTCAACTCGTGAGACCAGGTTTTTGCAGTGTTACGTGGGAATGGATTTGCAGTGTTTTTTTTATCGAGCAGGCCAATGGCTATTCTCTTCTTGCGTCCGATGGCAATATGGTCAGGAGCTATAATTGCCAACGTGGAGGCCTTTTCGCCACGAGGGTGTTTTAGGCGAGACTTCGCATAGATCTGCTTTGCCTCCTGTGAAGGAGCAGAGACAACGGTGGTTTACTCTCTGGTCTGTAGTTTGGGTTGGCATGGCCACAATTTACACGACGGCCTGTTTTTAATTTCCATTCTTAAAGCACATTTGGCCAACGAGATGGAATTTCGATTTAAAGCTTTCGTGACTGCAGGGATTCAAGAACCAAGCATATGAGATAGAGTTTGTTAGAATTGCCCCATGGTGATATGGGCGAACGATGGGCCACGTGTCAGGAATGGAAATATTGGGCAGGCACTTCACAACCCATGCTGTTTTGTCCAACGTTTGATGTTTTACAAGTTGGTAGAGTTGCTCCATTAATAATCATTGTAGTTGGCTTAAGAGGAGGCTTTTGTAACTTCTTATTCAAAACTAAATTTATTCAGGAACAAAAAATAATAAAAATAATAATAATAAAAAAATGTCCTGGTACTTTTGGCGACTGCCAGATGCGTTTATACATTAGCCTTGACTCTCGTAAGGCACAAAAAGCCAGTGTTTTATTTTTTAATGATGTGTAGCTTGAAATTTAAATTCCAGAGACTGGGATTGCAAGTTTTCTGCTGAAATTACATGTTTTGTCACTGACTGCAAGACTAAGCTGGTTCATTCAGACATGTTCCAGAATTAATTTGAACAATTATGGCAATCTGATATATAAATAAATAAACGTTACTCTATCTGATCCATGCAACCTTGTACATGTTATTTTTTTATATACCATATTCAGAAATGAATTGTAGCTGCATGAACAATGACAATGTGGTCTTGGACAGATGGTAACATTTGTATAAACAGCAGTGTGTGTGTAGAGGGCAATTAGCACATTAGGAAACATAAAACATTAAACAAACGAATCGTTATAGGTAACACACAATTTCTTACAAATGTTTCCTTAACTATTACAATCCATCTCTATTATCGTCTCTTTCTTTGTTCAAAAGGCCCAATGCCCAGAATGTCAGTTGTACATTCCCCTTGATTCAACACGTAGGCTTACGCGACCAATATTATTCATGATTTAAAAAAACGTGGGTTAGATCGCGTGAATATGAGTGTGTCGTACACCCACCTCCACCCGACAAGCAAGCAATTATCAAGGTTTGTCGCTTGAACAAGATGTGCCAATGCGTTAAGACTCCAGCACCACCGGTGTGTTCAAGAGCAAAGCCGAGGCATTTACAATTTGAGTGGACGCTGTAATTGGCAGCAAAACGTCACTGGCGGCGCCTATCACTGCCCTGGCTGCTACCATCCAGCTTGGCTGTGGTTCCTCAGCGATAGTGAGATGCAGTTTGCATGGATGAGGACATGATATTAAACGAAACATAATTATAATAAGGAGGCAACTGTCCGCCGGTAAGCAAGAAACTGCGAGTGAATTGGCGAGTGCTAGTTTTATTAATGCACCTCACCTGCTTTACATTACATTCTATTACGTACAGTGACGTGTTCGGATGACAAGACCTCATTCGCCATTGAAAATATACATTTTCCTAGAGAGACCTGGGATTAAAACAAGAAAAGCAGATTTTTGAGGTTTTGTTGGGCATTTGATAGAGAAAGTTTGCTTGTTATCGATACCGCACCTCCGATTATCACGGTTGGCTATGTTCGGTGCAAAATAAGATCAACGTACAATGTAAGCTAATGATGACAGTCGTGCCATTGCATTTTCAGTTTGTGTCTCTGCCAACACGGCCTGTGAAATTGTATTTGAGGCTGAAAATTCAGATAAGTTTGCAGGTTGCAGCAGGGAAGGGAAACATTGCATGTCCAATCCCACATGACATGGAGTTACCCATCCCTGGCATAAAAATAAAGGAAGATAAAAACAAAAAGCCACATATACATTTGAAACCACAATGCTAATTGATTATGCAGCCGTCGCATGCCCCGTAAAGATATGTGAACAGTGTAAGATATTCTGTTGTCTAAAGGTTGCGTTTAGCGCTGTATTCAAGTGCAAATGCCTTCAGAAGAAAGGACCAATGCCACTGCTCGTTCAGGATGATCTGTAAAATAAAGCATAATTGACAGCTGGCTAAAGATCGGTATACTTTGCAATGCCCAATATTTTATAAAGAAACCTTAGTTAAATTTCATTTAATTACACTCCTTTATGTAATTTCAAAGAGCATTAAACCACAGCAGTAAAAAACAAAAGTCTTTGCCGAAATAGTCGAGCGGTTTCGAGTAAATAACGGTCGTTAAAGATGCATTTAAACGCACTCATGTTTGTGTGCAAAAGCAGCGGCTCTAAGGCACTTTTAGTGACGTTTACCAGGGTCCCGTGAACGATGGGGGTCCTGCAAGCGCGCTCAACCCTGGTGCTTTATGACGCGTAGACACCGCGCACACATAAACAGCAGCACGCACCAGTTACCAGCCACGGTCAGATGAGTCCGTCACCTGCCAACGCTGCTAAATCACGTACTCCAGTTTTGCAGCCTCTAGGCCGTAACACATTAGGGGGACATTTTATGGAAAAATTCATCGCCGGAAAACAACATTTTACCACGAGCAGCTGTGGCAACTTGGTGAAGGCGGTTGCACAGAGTGATTGGAGTTCTGTCGTGCCAACGAAAACAATGTGTGTTGAAACTTGTGCTTGATGAAGAATGGCTTCATATTCTTAGGTTTTTTCGGTAGAGTCACGTAGGTAAAAAATTAAAATTAATAAAAGTAAAATAAAAATAAAATAAAAATCACAACGTTTCGGAGGCAACACAATCTTCCGTCTTCAGGTGGAACCGTCACAGCACGATAGCTGTATCAAGTGATACAGCTATCGTGCTGTGAAGACGGAAGCTTGTGTTGCCTCCGAAACGTCGTGATTTTTATTTTATATTTATTTTACTTTTATTAATTTTAATTTTTTACCTACGTGACTTTACCGAAATAACCTAAGAATATGAATCCTTGCAGTCACGAAAGCTTCAAATCTAGAAGAATGGCTTGTCAATAGAACTTACAACCCAGGATAGTCGTGTGACCTCTGTCTGTGAACTGATTGGAAATCGCCATCCCCGGTTGCTCACTCGTGGGACCAGAGGTCACGTGTGTCCAGATTTGAACAACAATTTTTTTTTTACTAAAAGAAAATAAATTGTGCCAAAACCGCTAGCGGTGCTGATTGCCAGCAACAGTTATGCTAAAGTTGCTCAAGATAGCCTTCAGATAAAAGCAAATGCACCTGCATGGCTCACAAGTCATCGATCATTCGTTCATTTCTCTGAGGAGCTCACAGAGAGCGTTTGTGAATGTCGGCCACGCCGTGCTCTGGCACAGCCAAAGTTACGTAAAGTTTCAAAATGCAAGCAAGGTGATTGTTAGGAAAGCGGCCACCTCTTGTGTGCGGTTGGTCAGGTGGATCAGGGTCAGAGCAACGAGCTGGCGATGCTGATGAGATTCAGGCTCGATCCTGCAGTTTCAGCCACTTGTGGTGAAATGCGATTCTTAACAACAAGGGTTGACATACTCAGTCCGATCGTGGCTCATGACGTAAAATGTTTTTCCTCCCCCCGCCAATTTGAAAATTTAGCATCGATTTTAATGCCCTTTTAATGAACATTTTTCTCTGTAGCAGGATGCATGCGAAAGCACACACCACTCCCATGTTGTGTGTGAAATGTATTTATCCGGAGGCTGTTCTTTGCAAACATGACCGATGATGCACCGCTCCGTGAGAGTTGCGAATAAACCCCCCCCCCCGCCCGGCTGAAGGCACGATACGGATAGCGCAGTCGGGATTAAATGTGGACGAAAGATATTACGTAACAATGCAAACTAATTGTAAACGTCGAAAGTTAACATATCCCATCGGGCTGTCTCCTGGTTGAATGATAGGCAATTGAGTCAAGTTATTGTGCATCTGGAAATTGCTTTATACTCGTGACATAAAAAAAGTTATATTTTTTAATACTGTTATGTAATTGACCGATATCGAGTTAATGGATTATTTTCCCCTGCATTGCCTCCATCGTTTGTTTTATGCAAACGTTTGCCTTGGGCTAAAGTTACACTTTTCCAGATGTCATGAAAAATTTGCAACCAATCAGCATGCAAAAAAATATAAATATCCCTCGCAATGACTAAAGTGTGCGTGAAGTCGCATAATAAAACAATTACTCTCAGACCATCAGGCTCACCCTGCAATTTCGAGTTCATTTGTTTCGTTGTGTTTGTGATGATATTTACGTGATCTTTATGATCCGTGACACTCAATGCTTTCTTTCTTATATCCTCCCCGACCCTTCTCTATTTTTGCCATCTCCCCCTCAATGAACGCTTCCCCGATCCCTTCCCTCGTCCGCTCATACCATCACAGGTGCTCCTCTCTCCGTGGTCATCTCGCCCTCGGTGGGAGAGATCAGTGTTGCCGACTCCAAGTTTTTCATGTGCACCGGTAAGTCGCGGGGTTGCATTCCTGAACCTTGACCACCGACGGTGTAGCTGGTAGCAGTGCCAAGCCCGAAAAATCCCATATCGGTGGAATGAACGCCGTCGATTTCTTTGCACGTGGCACGAATCCGTGGACATTTGAAACGGTGCAATTGAAATCTCGAGCATGAATATACCTTTGTAGGGAGTTCTTCGCTATATTGCCCTGGTTTTTACCATGATGATTAAATTCAGACACCAGCAGATTCTGGAAACTTAATATCAGCAGATTATGTTTAACTCACTCGTGCTTGAATTATTCAAAGCAAAATGCAAAAAAAATAATAATGTGATTATAGAAGGGACGTGTTGAAAATGTTTAGTATAATTGTGATAGCAGTTTTATGAGTATCAGTATTCCAGTCGACTAAAGGGCCCTCTAGTTTGTTAGTAGATGTGGCTTTACAAAGAAATGTGCGCAAGTACAAACACAAAGATTACCCTTATAGCCTGACCAGACTGTTGGGGCAAGTGCTTTTAGCGAGTACCTATGAAGACCGGAATGGCACACAAGGGGGTGGGTGGCCAGCAGCACGCCCGGCCGCCTTTGTCTCCCCAATGGCGATGTTTACACACTGCACCAGGTACTCATGTTAGGCTGAGTCGGCCTAAAGGAGGCCCAGGACTGGTTCAGATAATCGTCACTGGTGTTGGTCATGAGCGGGAATCAAACTCGAGTGGCCGGGTTCGTAGCGCAGCGCGCTAACCACTACACTACCGTTCCCCTCAAGTACACTCACAAACATACGTTTTTGTGAGGTACACACACGTACATCCACGTACTTGCATTTGAATTCACTGCCACTGATCATACTGGAATGAAGCATTAAAAATTTCCTATTAATGTACATTGATGCGAACCATAGCTGGGTATCAAACCCAGGTTGCCAAGTTCGTTGCACCAACTGCACCACGACTATTTTCCCACGTTGCGCACCCAAAATATGAACTAAACTAAAGAGTGACCTTGAATTTGTATTGCTCCAAATGGACATTTCCTAAGACAGCTCGAGAGGAATCGCAATGACGGTGGTGGTGGTGATGATGATGATGGCGATAATAATGCGCGGAAAAGTCATTTCGTGTATTTATCTTCTCAACATGGGGCCTTGAAGCCTGCTGAATGTGATGGAGGGTGTAATTAAATAGGACCCTAACCTCTGCTTGTCATTTGACTTCAAGAGTCTTTAATAAGGCCATGGGGGGGCGGGGGGGGGAGACGGTGGGTGTGTGCAGCGTTCCTCTCATCATTAATACACATTCGGCTATAAATCAAAAAGTCTCCGCAGTGACCACTACGTTCTGACGCGGTGCTTAAATCATCTGACTGATTGGCAGCCAGCCTTCAAGGGAAAAAGGCGACCGCCACTCGCCATGAAAAATAGCATCCCGTGGCTTTTTTTTATGGCCATTGAATTGTCTTATATGTACTGAAAGTAATGTGCGATGAATATGTTGCTGAAAGGGACATTAAGGAAACCTGGTAAGAAGTTTTGGGAAGCTTAATGAAGGTGTCTGGCTTAAGCATAACAAAAAAACTGGATTACTCTCTTCTTGTTAAAGTTTCTTTGAATGTATTAGTGTAATTTATACACAGTACAAGCCCTGCACATAAAATTATTTAATTACCTTATTAAGTCTGGCTTGTTGCCAATATCAGATTTATAGATTTTTAAAATGTTTTCATTTAGCAAAATACCACTGTTGGAAAATATGGAAACTTGCTAAGTGAAACGGATTCGTAGGGAATGACTAATGGCATATCGTGTGTGCGTGTGTGCGTAATGTGCGTTTGTGGGGAGCGGTTGTGTCACGGTCAGTGCACTGCGCTATGAACCCGGTGACCCGAGTTCGATTCCCGCTGATGGCCAACACCAGTGATGAATATCTGAACCGGTCCTGGGCCTCCCCTAGGTCGACTTAGCCTCAAATGAGTACCTGGTGCCGTCTGTAAATATTGTCACTAGGGAGATAAAGGCGGCCGGGCGTGGTGTTGGCCACCAATCCCCTAGTGTCCCGTAACGGCCTTGATAGGTGCTCGCTAACAGCACTTTCCCCAACAATCTGTTAAGGCTACACGGGGGAGCTTTGTCGTTGTGCGTTTGTACGTGTGGGCAGTGATGCTGTGGCGGCCAGCACACCACAGCACAAACCTAGAGGCCTAATTATAATTTGTGGCCATGCACAAGTACCAGTGGCAATTCATACCTGAACCTGGTTTGGGCCTTTCCTAGATAAATTCAGACTAAAATAATTGTGGCATGCATGCAGTCAATACAAAAGAAGGTCTGCACAATTTATTTCAAGGTCGTTATCACTATTTATAGCCGAACCAAACATCAAGGCTATTTTAAATGTGCTTAAAACTAATTTTGGTAGAAGCAATTTAAAAATATTTTTTATTTCCATCAGAACATGAAAGGTCACCTGGCCCTCTATGCCCTCGATGCGTTGCGATTGGTCCGTCCCATTAATGATTCTTCAGTGGGAATGGATATGCTCACGTTGGGCTCATCCGCAGTATGCACGAACCGACGCATTAACCAAACCTAATTTCCTCTGCCATGGCCTTGGCAATGACAGAGGAGGAGCATATCTACGGCTCCAGATTGAGTGCGAGCCGCAGAGCCCATTAAATTTGGCAACACGTCTCACCGCTGCACATTCGACCTTGGTTTATCTGACTATGAATTTGGACGTTGCTTAGCACGAACAGTAATGGCCCCCTCCAAAGATTTAGTGTGTGTTTGCGAGCGCATTATTTCAGGTTTAAGTGGGCCATCATATGTAATGGAAACTCACTTAGACGTTGTTATTTAGTGTCCGTTTCGATATAAACACGGGCCACTTAGATTTAACCGATTCAGATGCCCCCTGCGCTTGACTTTGACAGTGCGTGACATACGAGAGGTTAAACTGTTGCAGGCGCCGCTTGACTCTCGCGTGTGCGCGTCGGCGATTATGTGGCATTGTTCTTGAGAAGCGCGCTCACCTCGCGAAGGTGTGTAAGTGTGCCGCTTAAACCGCGCGGCGCGAGGCGTAGGCCCCGTCGCTAATTGCGCACGCGTGCCAGTCGGAGCGAGGTGCCTCGTAATCGCTGCTGCCCCTGGGTCAAAGATGAAGAGAAGCCATTTTTTATTTTCCATAAGCGGGGCCTTCGTCACATTGTAATGATCAAATTGGATGCGAAGTATCGCTAACAGACTGACTCAATATAATGTATTTTCCATGTTTTTTTTTTACAGTAAATGCAATGCCAAGTTCTACATGTCCATTCCAATGGCTTGTTAATTGTCCACAACAAAACAGCTAATATGCCCACTTTAAATTCCACGGCGGTACAAGACAAAATACACTGGCAATGTAGTCAGGCAAACATCTTCGTGCTTACTCGTTTCACAGACATTTCTGCCTGCATGTACACCCGTCTGTTTGACTACCTTACCTACCCGCGTGTTCAACCATCTGTCCATCTCTTCATTTGTCTGTTTACCTGCCTACCTGTATGCCCGCCTGTCTGTCTACTTATTTGTCTTGCCGTTGGTCTTCCTGCCTGCCTGTTTGACTGCCTTACCTACCACCTGCTCATCTGTCCCTCCACCTCTCTCTGCTTGTCTGTCCATCTATATAGCTTTTTCCCGGCTGCCCAGCTGACTGCGTACACACCTGCATGCCCGCCTGTCCATCCTTTCTTTCAGCGTACAACTCCGTTTCCCTCCTTGCACACCTTGCATCGATAATCCTCCACTGCTCCTGACGCGGCTGTCTGGCTCGACCGCCTGAATGTGAATTCGTAGTCGCTGCTCTGCATCTGCATCAGCCGCACGACAACAAGAAAAAGAGGAAGAACCCCCGTCTCTAATCTCCGCGCCTGCCCCCCCAACCCCCGTCCGTCTCTCTCCCACCCTCGTCCCCGCCACCGGCAGTGAGCGGTGACGTCGCGAGCATCGCGTGGTTCGACCCGCGCGGCGTGGCCATCGAGAGCAGCGACCGCGTGTCGGTGTCGAGGCAGGAAAACGAGGTGGCGCTCACCATCTACCGCGTGACCGTCGACGACGCCGGTGTCTACAAGTGCGTCGCCTCCGCTACCGACGGCACCACCGGCGAGGGCACCGTGATCGTCAGCATCTACCGTGAGTGAGCGCCGCCCCCCGCGGGCGTTCGCCGCTGGCGCGTGTCCCACCATGGTTGTTTTGCGGTTGTTTTGTGGTTGTTCCACGGTTGTTCTGCGGTTGTTGTGTGGTTGTTTTGTGGTTGTTCTGCAGTTGTTTTGTGGTTGTTCTGTGGTTGTTCAACGGTTTTCTTGTGCTTTTTCCGCGGTTGTTCCGAGGTTGTTCCGCGGTTGTTTGGTGGTTGTTCTGTGGTTGTTTCGCGGTTAAAATCTGGCAACCGCAGCCCCTGGTTTCAGAAGAATCAGGATCTTGATTTAGACTGCTGGAGGAGGAGGAGGAATCCGATGAGCTGTAAAGATATTTTTTACAGATTGTTGGTATGGGGGTGTGGGCAGATCAGTTAGGTTACAACAGCAAATGATACAAAAACATGACAGTAGTGCGACATGGAGACAAAGGTAATCAAGTCTCTAAATATGAATCAATGACTAATAAATACATCAATTATATATATCTGCTTTATCCAGCTTGGGCAAGGAAACACAACCAACAAAACCACACCAAGAAAACACACAGCCCCTCAATCAAATGGCACAGCTTAATTCTGTGGTGTGCGTGAACGGTAAATGTTCCATGCGCCGTCTGCTTCGCAGTGGACGTTGAATCGGAATCTTTATTTATACTGCAGGAGGAATCTTATGAGCTGTGAAGCTCTTTTTCACAGATGTCCATAACATCCCATGACATCGTTATCGCGAGAGTGGGCCATTGTGCGCCTGCGGGTGTCATGATCCATAGCAAACCATCACCCACCCCCCCGCTGCGACGGCAGGACCCTGCTAAAATGGTTCGTGAGACTGGGCGAGGCCTTCCTGGAATATTATCTGGAGAATTACTCGATTGGAAATCACATCAGTGGCCCCCCTACTTTGAAAACGTATTCAGGAATGTCCTGAACAAGAGTGTTGAGATTCAGTGAGACATTCCTGGTTCAAAAAGCATAACGCAAATCACGATAATAATATGTAGCCTAAGGTGAAATTTACCACCCTCTTTTGGCCTGTGTTCACAAACACCCCGACCCCAAGGAGAACCTTCAACCCGTGCTCAGGGGCCACCGCCAGCCTGGTGCCCGCAGGAATTAATCTATCTGCTCGGAGCGCTTTCCATTGGTGCAGTGCCCAGCGCAGCGGTTAGCGCAGAGGCTGACGCTGAGAACCTGTCAAATTGAGTTTGAGTCTCAGCCATCAGCGGTGATGCATGGGCCGAGTTTGCGGGGGGGGGGGGGCACGCCCTCCCCCCCCAACTGGACACTTTCACCAGTGCGGGGGAGATGAAGGCGAATGAGCGTGGTGTTGCTCACACCACCTCCTCCGTACGCTGTGCTGGTCTTAATAGGTGCTCACTAACAGCACTTGCCTCAACAGTCTATGTAGACTATACAGGGGGGGGGAGGGCGGTGTACTTACCTTATTAAATAATACAGCAGTGTGCTACCTTGAGCATGATTATGCGTGGTTTTGTTGTTGTTTTCTAGCGACGAGCGGTAACGTCTCACAAGACACAATTGAACATCCGTGGCCTCTGGATCAATTGACAGTGACATGAACGCCACTGCTGCTTCGCCCGCATGAGAGATGCCTCATCGTGCGTAATTACTTTGAATAAATGAAACTGGGCCATCGCGGTGGGAGTCATTTGCTCTCGCTATTTCGATTCTGAAATAGCTATTAACAATTTGGTTCGCGTAAGTCGCAGAACTGTACGAATATTATTATTATTATTTGATCTCCAAGGTTATTTCCAATTTTTAAATCCTTTATATTAAGTTCGCTTGCTTGCTTGCTTGCGTGCTTGCGTGCTTGCGTGCTTGCTTGCTTGCTTACGACCGTGCAAATCTTTCGGTCGTTTTTTAACCCACTTCCCGTGATCCAATCGAGCTGACATTTTGCACACAGACTCGTTGTGCGAGACAATTAATGTTCGTGAAAAGTTTTTTTCCAAAATTTTACACTGTTTAGGGAAAACAAATTAAATATTTAATTACCAATTGCTTAATACTGGCAGACAATCATCTGACCCATAGGTGGCAGCCATCTCAAGCCAGAGGACTAGAGGACTCTAGCCGCCACGCATATAAAGGATTTATAGTGAAAAGCTTTGTTTTTACGGGTTATACTTATTACTTCTTGAATTGTTTTGAAACTGATGCCGTTAGGTCACTTTGAATATTTCGGTGAGTCATTCGGTGGACGAATCGATGGTCATGAACTATCGTACGCCGGTAGTGTACCGCCTTCATTTCATCGATTTACTTTTGAATGAAAACATTGGGGAAATGCAGTGAAATTTGTACATTAGAGTGGTGCATTGCAATCATAATCAGTGACACACGCAATGACTCACTGCCGGAAAAAAAAAAAACATTTTAAGCAGTGGACTCTTTTCACGTAAGAAGCAAACGAGGAAGAAGTCCCTCACATTGGACATTCGTGGTTTTAAATTCACTCTTTCATGTGAATGTCAATGAAGTGAATTAAAGCGGGGTGGAAGATAGATAGGATGGACAAAAACTACTCACACGCCCTTGGAAGTCAATGAATCCTCCTCACAAACGATATTAAGCGCCCCGTACGTATGTCCACCAATGGGCAAGACTCTCAAATCTCCCGGGGCCCCTTCAACCAGCCTCACCTCCTCTGTCTACCAAAATAGCTCTAATCGGTACCGCACCAGCGACTCAATCGGCAAATCAGGTGTGCTGGGGGTTCAGTGTCGGGTGCTCCTAGCTGCTACGAGATGTCTTGTCAGCGTGGAAGAGTAGACCAAAGTCACCTCATGTGAGAGAGCGGCTTTCTCGAGCTTCTTCTCGTTTGAAGGCCTTCCCCGCCAGCAGTGGTGTGAGCAGGCAATGCAACTATAAACGATTAAACGATTTAATTTTCCCAGGTAAGGCCCACTAAGCGATATAGCTCTTTTTTTAGAAGTCACCTGGCCACAATTGATCGCTCGGCGAAGTGGCTTCTCACGTTGAAATGTAAAGCAACCAAATACTCAATTGCCAGGCCGACCCCTTTCCCTTTCAGTTTCTAGCTCATCACTTTGCCTGTCGATGAATTAACTCATTCCCTAACAGCTGAGAACTGTGTCCAGTAAGTCTGAAACTTTGCAATCGGGAGTGCAAGAGAAACAGCCGAGCGCAGACAAGGAAGTGGCGATGTGCTTTGATTGTTTCCCCTTCTGCCTCGGTGCCGGCCGATGTTCTGGGCGGGGAAACCCGCTCATCGCGGCCGCGTGTCTCAAAATCATCCTCGGTTTTTTTTTTGCCGTCGTGGCTTCTCTTTTAAAAGAGAGGGGAAAAAAAACGGCTTCCACCGCCAATCTCGACCGAATGCTCGGCATCGTCCGTGGCCACAAATATATCGCGTGGGATTGCTTTCCCCCCCATCTGCTGCGGGAGCAAGGTCAGAGTGCGACGGAGACCTAACCGTTGCCTTACTCCCTGCGCTGACAATATCTCCCGAACAATTTGGCAAATCTCGAGATGTTTTGTTGTTTTGTTTTGAAGGCCACAGTTTTGAGCCAGGGAGCCTGGCATTGGGGGTTTCGAGGTCAGAGGTGAAGTTTGCAATACCCCTCGGAAGTTGCTCCAAGCGGTTGTCAAAACGGGAGTCGCATATCATTTTCGTGTTCATAAATGTTTATGATGGCCACTAATGTGAGGACTGTTATTTTTTATGTCCTTGAATTGTAATGTGCATCAGGCTGAGTTAACCATAAGTATATATGTTTTTTTACATTTCTAGGTGTGTAGGTTTGTAAATGGTTAAGATATGTATGCAGTTGTTTTACATATGTATGTTTATATAAATGTGGGTAGGTCGGTATGTTTGTAGAGAGGTGGGCATATTTATAGACCAGTATGTATATAGGTCGGGAATTTAGGTGGACAGGTAAGTAGACATAGGTGGGTACACAAGAATGTTAGGAGTGTTTTGTAGGTAGGGAGGTAGGGTAGGGATGTTGGATACATGGGTTAGGTAGGGTTTTGGGTATGTGAGTAGGTAGATGGTGAAGATTGGTGAAGCTGATAGTTTTATACGTTGGTATATTTTCTTTAATAGACAACATGATGAGAGTCCTCTGAGATCGTAACTCCCTTTTGCAAAAGGACCCTGGCGTCATTAATTAATAGATGCCATGCTTCATTACATAGCAAGAAGGGACAGGGAGAAAGTTATGCGTTTGAAAAACAAATAGATATCCACAATGCCAGTCTTATTGCCCACGGTAATGAAGAGTAAACCTTTGCAGAAGGCATTTCTGTAAGGAGGTGAAGGTGGTTGATACATACAACTATACATGGCAAGGCAGTGAAGAAAGAAGGGAAAACAGATGAAGAGGTGGTCAAAGAAAACGAATTATTGTATGAAGGCTAAACACAAATTGTGATTTATTCCTGGTTCAGAAGACGTTAAGCAATTGATGGATATAGCAGTGATGATGATGATGATGATGACCGCAAACTACATCAGTCATTCCCAACGTTGGCTGATGGAAAACAATGCTGCCAATTCACGGACGACCCATGGCCCTAAAGATATCTGAATTATAAAAATTTAATGATGCTGAAATTATTAATTTAGCATTAATATTTCAGCAGTTCTTTTGAGCTTGTTATCCGTGGTCTAGAGAGAAGCGTGAAACAGCGCCGCAACTGTCGTCCGCTTATAGGAAGAGCACCTTGGTGCACTCGTAAATCTGCACGTGTGTGCGTGTGTGTCTGTGTGTTTGTACATGTGTCTTTGTGTGCGTGTGCGTGTGTGGGGAGCGATAGTGCAGCAGTTAGCGCACTGCGCTATGAACCCGGCGACAAGAGTTCGATTCCCACTCACGGCCAGCACCAGTGACGATTATCTGAACCGGTCCCGGGCCTCCCCTAGGTCGACTCAGCCTCAAATGAGTACCTGGTGCGGTGTGTAAACATCGCCACAAGGGAGACAAATGCGGTTGGGCGTGGTGCTGGCCACCCACCCCCTCGTGTACCGTTCCGGCCTTCATATGTGCTCGCTAACAGCACTTGCCCCAACAGTCTGTTAAAGGCTATACGGGGGTTCTTTTCTCTTTCTTTGTGTGTGGGGAGAGTGGAGAGTTTCCCATACCTGGGCAGTGTGCTCATGACCGGCTCCGGTTTGACAGCAGAGGTCTCACTCCGAATCAGTCGAGCGGCAATATTTTTCATCAGCTGCGTAACGCTGTGTGGAAGCTACCTGGTCTGTCGCTCCACACGAAGCTTCAGGTCTTCTCGGCAACAGTCAATCCCTCCCTTCTCTACGCTTGCGGAATGTGGACCCCCCCCTAATTGAACATCTTCGCCAGTTAGAAACATTTAGGCTGGCCTGCCTACGATCCATCCTGGGTTTAGCCAGACTGGATTGTGTGAGGAGCTCACAAATCCTTGAAATATCTGGCAAAGTCTCATCGGTGAGCTCCTCCGGCAGGCAAGGCAGTGTTGGCTGGGTCATATAGCCCGCCTGTCCAGCCACCGCATGCCTAAACAGCTTTTGTTTGGCCAGATCAAGGGGGATAAACTGGCTGGCCATGGGTTAGAGATGGAGATCGGCCTCTGTGGAGGAGGCTCGTGAAGGATACTACTGGGCAGTTGGAGGCAGTCGCAATCCAACAACAACAGAGGGCAGAGGAGCGACACTCACAACAACGAGCGGAGCGCCAGGTGGATAAAGCACAGAAAGTTGGCACAGTAGGAGGCACAGGTGGTGCATCAGCCACTCATTTTAGTCAGCCGACCCGTGGTACCTGGGTCTGTCCCGTGACCTCGTGCCAGCAGGCGATCGACACTTCACGTGGCCTCAACATGCACATAGCCTGGCACAAGCGTCGTGGTGATGTCACCGCCACTTAGTGGCGATGGCGGTTGTTGTTGTTGTGTGTGGGGAGTGGTTGTGTAACGGTCAGCGCACTGCACTACGAATCTGGCGACCCATGCACGGCCAAAATCAGTGACAATTATTTGAACTGCTCTTGGGCCTCCCCTAGGTCGACAGCCTCAAATGAGTACCTGGTGTGATGTGTAAACATTGGCACTAGGGATACAAAAGCGGCCGGGCGTGGTGCTGGCCAACCACCCCTCGTGTGCCGTGCCGGCCTTCATAAGTGCTCGCTAACAGCACTTGCCCCAACAGTCTGTTAAGGCTCTACGGGGGATCTTTGTGTTTGTCTTTGTACAGGGTGCGGTAACGCAAAGGGTTAGTGCGCTGTGTCATGAACCCAGTAACCTGCTGTGATCTCCCTTGACAGCCTCCACGAGTGATGAGCGATATTCGAATCGGCACCTCGGGGCAGTGTGTGAACGTCGTGAACCCAGAACTTTGGGAGGCAAAGGCAGCCTGAGCTGACGTGATGACCACACCACACCCTCACGCTCCGTGCTGCCTTAAATAGGCTCTCACCAACGGCACCTGTCCCCACGGTGTTAAAGGTTGCATGAGGGGTGGAAAATCATAGTTTTTTTTTAAAGATATTTTTTTTTCCATTGTGTCTGCGCTGGCCCAGACAGTGAATAATGCACGCTTGTGCGTCGCTGTTTGTGTGTGTGCATGAAGCAGTCAGCATGATGCCCTACGAACCCGGCGACTCGAGTTCGATTCCCGCTTATGGCTAACGCCAGTAATGATTTATTTGAACCGGTTCTAGGCCTTCCCTAGGTCTCAAATAAGTACCTGGTGCGGTGTGTAAATGTCACCACTGAGGAGACAAAAGCAGCCGAGCGTGGTACTGCCTACGCATCCCTATCGTGTGACATGCCGGCCTTCGTAGGTGCTACTCGCTGACAGCACTTGCCACAAAATGTCTGCTGAGGCTATACGGGGGTGGTGGGATCTGTGTCTTTGTGCACGTGCTCACAGAGAGGGTGACCTTCAAGGAGGCTCGCTCGCCACAGGAGTTCAAGGAGGGAGATGACGCCATCGTCGAGTGTCATGTGATCAGCTCTCCTGAGCCCGCCGTCATGTGGAAATTCAACGAGCGCAACGTCATGATGAAGAAGGACGGTGAGCGGCACGCGGCACGCACCCATGTCTCATCATCGTGGCCGCCAGAGTGGCGCAGTGGTAGTAACACTTGTCCTACGGAGCAAAAAATCCCTGGGTTTGAATCCTGACTCTGGTCACTTTCTACGTTGATTTCGAATGTTCTCCCCGTGGTTCTGTTTGGGTTTCCTTTGGGTTTTTCTATTCCTTCCCAAACATCTCAATGCTGAAAATGGTCCTGTAAATGACTTGGTTTGGGATGACACAGTAGCGACATCTCTCCCTCGTGCAAAAACCAAGGCAAGGACCCTCCCAATACAGAGTCTCGATACTCGGTGACCTGGCCACAAATGGTAGCCCAACGAAGTGGCTTATCACGTGGGAATTTATAGCGGCCAAATACTCTCCAAACGCGCGATGTTGATTCTAAATGCGGAGGGAAAAACTCGGAGGATCTGGAGAAAAATCCACGCAACCACAGGGAGAACATTCAAACTCCAAATGTACAAGCATTGTCAGCGTCGGGATCGAACCCACGACCTGCTATATACCGGGCGAGGTGGTCAACATCTCGCCGTGTGTGAATCGCCCTCTGACCCCGGGGGGGCCGCGGTGTGTGCGTGCGTTGCTCAGCTCGCTTCTCGCTGCTCTCCAACAACTACCTTCAAATCCGCGGCATCCGCAAGAGCGACGAAGGAGTCTACCGCTGCGAGGGGCGCATCCTGGCGCGAGGCGAGATCGACTACCGCGATATCCGCGTGCTCGTCAACGGTGAGCGCCGGCGGGGGAGAAGGGGGGCGGCTTGGGATTGTATTTCCTGCAACAACAATTTACGTCTTCTTGGTTCTTTCGGTAAAGTCACGTAGAATGGAAATAATAAAAGAAAAATAATAAAATAATTCTCACGACGTTTCGGCCACAACGCAAGCAGCCGTCCTCAGGTGAAGACAGACAATCGAAGCGACTTACAAGGTAGTAGACCTGGTCTGTCTTCACCTGCTTGCGTTGTGGCCGAAACGTCGTGAGAATTATTTTATTATGTTTTATTTTTATTATTTTATTATTTCCATTCTACGTTACTTTACCAAAAGAACCAAGAAGATGAATCCCTGAATCCCTGCAGTCACGAAAGCTTTAAATCGAAACAATTTACGTTTAATCTAAATGCAACCGCATCTCATGAAACTGCATCGAACGGTGAGTCTTGCTTCAGGGGAAAAGGAAAAGTAGATATTATTAAATCCTGACTTAAAGCGTTCGTGACTGCAGGAATTCATAGTCTTAGGATCTTTCGGTAAAGCCACTATCTACGTGGCTTTGAGCCACGTGACGTGTCTATGGAGGTCATGGAACAGACCCCAGTGTTATCGTTTCGCTGACCGAGATGACTGGCAGATGCCAATGCAGCTACAGCAACACCTCCGGTTTACCTCGGGGGCGATGCGTTTCTTAAAGGCGCGGTGACGAATGTCGAAACGACGGCAATCGAAGCGACTTACAAGGTAGTAGACAAGGTGGTGCTGGTGGTGGTGGTGGACGCGAAGGCTGAGAGGTGACGGACAACCTAGAAAAGATGTACGGCGCCGTCAGCGACGTAAGCTTGTGGGGTCGAGGTGACGCGAATCAGGCTGCGGTTTTACTAAAGCGATGACGTGACAGTGGGAGAAACAGATCGGGGTATCGCTGTACCTTGTCGTTACTGCTGGTGCTGCCGCTGCTGTTGCAAACTGCTGCTGTTGCTGTCGCTGATGTTGATGCCCCCCTCGTACAACTGTCCCCTCGTCGTCGTTATCCCCGTCGCAGTGGCCCCGACGGTGCGCGTGCGGCAGAACGCCGTGAACGCCACGGCGGACCGCGGAGAGAATGCCCGCCTGGTGTGCACAGCCGACGGATTCCCCGAACCCATCATCACCTGGACCCGGTGTGTGTTACGCGTGTCTCTGCGTGTACTCTGCATGTCTTTGCTTGTGTCGGTGTGTTTGTATCTGTCGTGTGGATGTGTTTCCCTGAGTTTGGGTTTGAACCGAAGTAGAAAATAAAAATTGGTTTGGATGTGAAATTTTGGATGATCTGGAAATGTGACCTCACAGGAAGTGGATGTAACTTCCACGGCGTCACTTCAGTGCTTTACCCGCAACAAAAGTGTCGTCACGTGATGTCGTTTTGACGTTATGTGATGTCGCTTTTTGCTTAGATCATTCAAATGTTTTTTTACTTTGAAAAATAAATATTCAAAGATTTATCTTTTTGGTTTTCTCATAATAAATGGACCAAATTTGGTGAATAAACAATGAATGTCATTGTAATTTCAGAAATTTAAATCCTAAAATTTGAAATTTAGCCTCAGATTTTTTAATATTAAACATGTCAATCTGGAACGCGTTCCTAATACCTTGGGGCTCTGTGGTGTCGTGGTTCGTGAACTACGCTACGAACCCAGCGACCTGAGCTCAATCCCCAGCCTTGGCTAACATCAGTGGCAACTAATATCTCAACCTTTCCCTACGGAGTGCCCTTGAGTCAATCTGGTTACCTCATGTTATGAACATCATCACTGAGGAGACAAAGGCAGCTTGGCACGATGCTAGCCTCACCACCCCATGTGTGCCATGTTGGACCGAATTCATACTCCCTAATTACCGGCGAAACGTCACGTTAGTCGAATTGGAAATGTTGACGGGGGTTTACTCTCCGACACACAACCGGTGTGCTGAGCTGGTAACTAATTGGCATGTTTTGTTTAAGTGACAAACCTTACCAATTGGCTGTGTCGGGTGGTGACGGGTTTAACAACACATTTATATTCACTTGACATAACCTAAAAAAAGAAACCTCTATTATGAATTCACACTCCCTGTTGACACCTCCTCCAACCGTCCGTATCAGTGAATGGGAAAATCGTTGTCGTTTTGTACATGTGAGCGTGCTTGCATTGCTTGTGTGTGTGGGGAGCGGTAGTGTAGCGGTTAGCGTGCTGCGTTATGAACCTGGCGACACGGGTTCGATTCCCGCTCATGGCCAACATCAGTGACGATTATCTGAACCGGTCCTGGGCCTCCCCTAGGTCGACTCAGCCTCAAATGAGTACCTGCCACTAGGGAGACAAAGGCGGTCGGGCGTGGTGCTGGCCACCCACCCCCTCGTGTACCGTTCCGGCCTTCATAGGTGCTCGCTAACAGCATTTGCCCCTAAAGTCTGTTAAGGCTATACGGGGGATCTTTGTTGTTTTTTTGTACTTGTGGGTAGGTATACTCGTTTTTTGTCCTTGCATACATGTACGGTCACCGTGGTGATGTCATCGTCACTTAGTGGCGAATGGCGGGTATTGCTAATGGATTATTTGCATAGACCACTGTGCATGTTTTACCTTCCTTCGTTCGTTCGTCTGTTCGATGTTGTGACTTCACAAAGATCCGTCTGGGAACGGTGACAATAGCTAGCGTTTTATTCTGTCTGCTTTTCAATGCCTACTATTTCCAGCGTGGCAGTTAATGCACTTGCTCACCGGAGTCCATACTCTGCACTCTAACTCCAAGAAAAAAAGTTAAACGATCTTGGTTCAATGGAGCACTTAATCTCTGCGCCATTTACAAAAAGAAAAAAAACTAAAACTCCTCTGCCTCTCAACTCTCCCTGTCCTCTGCTGCTAATGTTCCCAACTGCCCCAACTGTACGCCCTCACTGCCAATGACGGCAACCTCTCGTTTCAACCCCGTAAACGAGGCACGGGTCTTGCCATCGATTTTTTTATTTGGTTTACGCTCGCGATGCGTGCGTCAAATTGAGCAGTAATAATCAACATTTTTATCACGTGATAAAAAAAAAGTGTTATCAATCTGTCGTTTCCCAGCCTTCTCATTGGCTAGAGCTCATGGCACACACCGACCAGTAAGGGGGGGGGCACAGCTCGCTGGGCGGAGGGGGGGGGCAGTGGGGGATGCGGGGGGGGAGAAAGCCCATGGGGGGGGGGGTCCCACTGGCTGGAGCCAAGGGAAGGGTGATAGAGTGGGGGGCTGTGGAATGGGGGAGGGCAATTTTCTATCCCATACAGATGGAACAGATGGAGATGAGTCAATCTTCTCTGTACCATCTTCTCCTGGCAAGCCAAGGGTATGGCACCTCGAACACCCACAGAATGGGAGTTTTACAGCATTTGCGTGATCCACACAACCCTCACCTCCAAAGTGCCGGGTTACTGGCGGACGTAGTCACCACCGCAGTGAACACAAATTATCGGGAGGTGTTGTGATTTCCACTCATGGATTGGGCAGAGTGTTAAGAGCTGAGAAGCGATGGGAAGAAAAATAACATGTCATCATTATTTTTCCTTTATTGTATCCTGATTGTGCTTTTGGTGTTGTATCACGATTCCACAATGTTGCTCAACGCACGATGGCACCATTCCATTCCAAGGTCTACTCCTGATTCCAGGCTAGGAATCGTGTAAATTCAAGCAGCATAAATACACTCAATTTAGCTCAATGCATCCGGATATATATATTGTCTTTGGTAAAAAAAAACCTAATAAATGTCCTCATTGGCCGAATGATGTTCGTCAGTTAAGTGGAAAAATCTATTGTCAGACATTCGAAACAGAATCCTCCCTATCAACTTCTCCCGTGGAGCACGGGGGTCTAGCGTCGGTGGGAATTCTATCAAAACTACGCAGTCCTCGTTCACAGAGCAATGCTTTACAATACACCCTCGCGGGGGGCCACAAAAACACAACTGGCGGTTAACGTAATTTATTTTCATTCTCTCAGCTTAATTGTCTTGGCAAGCTTGAGGGCTTCCTCGGAATGGGAGTTGACATGCTCTGGAGAAACCACTTTGTTCAAATGCGTTTATTGGTTCTGTCGCCCGCTTAATCGAGATGCACGCACGTGGGCCAAGCATCTGGGTCAAAAAGTAAAGTCCGCCGGACAATCTTATGGCACCCGAGCGTCGCGATCGGGGAGCCCTCTCTGTGCAAGGCCGTCCTTTGTTCAGTGCCTTGTTTATCGCGCAACTGCTGTTCGCTTTATCCATCCGTCCCTGTGAATACTCATACTTTATGTTTTGGGAAGAGCTCCCATGAGAGGGATGGACATCTGTCGTCTGGTTTAGCCGAGACAGCATGGTCTGCAGACTTGTGTCTGTGTATACACGTTTAATATTAAGGAGGCAAGCTGCCAGCGTGTGTGTGCAAATACAAGGACGAAGATCCCCCGTGTAGCCTGAACAGACTGTTGGGGCAAGTGCTGTTAGCGAGCACCTATGAAGGCCTGGCACGGCACACGAGGGGGTGGGTGGCCAACACCATGCCCGGTCGCCTTTGTCTTCAAAGTGGCGATGTATTTACACACCACGCCAGGTACCCATTTGAGGCTGAGTCGGCCTAGGGGAGGCCCAGGACCGGTTCTGATAATCGTCACTGGTGTTGGCCGGTAGCGGGAATCGAACTCGGGGCGCCGGGTTCGTAGTGCAGCGCGCTGACCGCTACACTACCGCTCACGCACACACACACAAAGATCATTATTGTAACCCAATAGACTGTTGGGGGAAATGTGGTTAGTGAGTACCTATTAAGGCTGAAATGGTGCCTGCATGAGATGATGAGGTTGCTTGCACCACACCGAGATGCTGATACACAATCACTGATGCATTGGTTAATTAATAATAATAAAAATCGGTTCTTACGCTCACAATGCACACATCGAATCGTGCGTGTGAGAATACTTCATGAGCCGTCCGTACACGTTGTATTTAATTTGTCGATGTGAATCCTGTAGCACCCTAGAGGCTCGACGTGCAACACAATGAGAAACAAATATATTCTCAAATTAAATATCCACCCTGAATCGTGACAATTCGTCAAATCTCAAGGAGGCGATTCGTCACATGCCTACCAGTCACTTTTGTCTCCGCCCCCAATCTGGATGATTTAAAAGTGCACAGCTCCAGTGGCTTCCTAATATTGAAAAGGAAGAGCGTTCCAGACGGCCGCAGAAGCGCACCTGAACGCGCGTTCGATGCAGCGACCGTCTATGTTCGATTGCTAGCCAAAAAGTGTACTCATGCTTGAGGGTGTGTAAATGCGCGTGCTTGTGTGTTCATCCAGCGTGCGTCTTCGATGCTACAACAGCGGTGCAATGAGCCGTCTCTTGATTGCCTATGAACAGACGCCTTGATTGTACGTATGTACGTGTGCTGAACTTCTTTCGCACCGTACGTAGCCGACCGTGCGAATCGGACGTGTGGCATTTTGCTTGACGTACTGATCGATCGTCTTGATTAATCATTTTCCATTTTGGGGGGGGTGGGGGGGAGCAGCAATGGCGAGGTGCTGGAAGTGTCTGAGAAGTACGCGCTGAGAGCCAACGGCAGCGAGCTGGTGGTGAAGAACGTGGCCAAGGGGGACGACGGAGAGTACCTGTGCAGCGCCGAGAACAAGGTCGGGGAGCAGGACGCTGAGGTGACCCTCAAGGTGTTTGGTGAGTGGCCTCCCTCCCTCCTCTCTCCTCCACCCTCCTCCCCCCACCTCCTCCTTCCTCCTCACTCCGCCTCCCTCCCTCCTGCTTGTTTGTTACTGGCCTGCTTGACAATTTTGGGGCCTGTGCCCAGCAACTGTGTAGTAAAATAAAAAGGAACAGAAATCTTTCAAGCAAAGTCTTTATTTCAAAATATGAACCGGCTATGCGCACTGGTCCCATCGTAGTGGTTTTATACTAAAATTAATGTCATTATTGATACGAATTTTGGCATAGAACTACGATATGGCTTAACTGAAAAACGTAGGAGTCGTAGCATTGGCCACAAAAACATCTACATTATTTGGCACAATTGTATTATTTAATGCGAGACATTTGGTGATAGATATGGCAGTTGTTATTCTTGTAAACGTATTTGTGTGTTATGAGTGGGTATGATATTCATTGTATAAATGCAAACGGTGTACGTTTTACATTTAACATTCATGTATGCAAGTCATTACGTATTTTCATTGTGTGTGTCAGCCAACATGCTGGACATTCAGTTTCACACCGAGATGTTCCATCTCAAGGGATTTTCCAGAAGAAATATTTTGATTCATGAATTGAATTAAAAATAAAAGGAGACATGGGTGACAAGGAAGCAACAAACGTACATACAAAATAAGTGGCAACAAAAACCAAGCAATGGTAGAACAGCTCCGAAAGGCTCAATGGCAACATCAAAATGATGTGAATAAAACTCTTCAATTCGATACTATTTCAGTTAAAATATTTATGCAGCAGAAGGGATTAACACAAACCAGTAAAGTCACGTAGATAGACCTAATCATAACAATAAAAGTATAAAAATAAAAATGAAAATAAGGTGAAAAGAAAAAAATATCACGACGTTTCGATCGCAACACAAACAATCGTCGTGAAATTTTTTTTCTCATTCACTTTATTTTCATTTTTTAAATTATTTTTTTCTATCTACGTGCCTTTACCGAAAGACCCAAAGAATATGAATTCCTGCAGTCACGAAAGATACAAACCAGTAAATTATAACAAGGTCGACTCGAGATGAGGTGAGAGGCAATTATCAGAAGCACTTACATTGAAATAGTCAAGCAATTAATCCGTGGTAATCGGAGGTAACAGGGGAAGGACAACAAGCTAAACGCAAAAAGCAGGATGTAAGAAATGTTGTTTCTTGCTGTGGTTGTCCCACCTGATGACGGAAGCTTGTGTTGCTTCCGAAATGTCGTGATTTAATTTAGTTATTTCTATTTTTTTTTCACTTACGTGACTTTACCGAAAGAACCAAAGAGTAAAGAAATGAGTTTTCAATCTAGATTTAAAAGTGCACGGCTCTAGTGGCTTCATCATAGCGGAAGGAAGAGCATTCCAGACGGCCGCAGAAGCACACCTTAAAATGCGAGATGCAGTGACTTGGTTGAGAACCTGTTTCGTGACGGGTGTCTGCCCGGCTTAAAGTCTACGATCGCAGCTGCTCACTGCAATGACATATTCTACCTTTTACATTGGAAAAGAGATGCTTTATAGCTTAGAGAAAGAAAAAAAAACACTGTTGTTTACTTGTACGTTTTTTTTGCGAGCTCCGATTTTAATTGGCGTTCTCCACGTGGGAATCACCCGTGATATTACTGCGATTGTCGTAATTATTAAGCTGACTTTGTTGGGAATTACTTTAAGAACAAGGGTGGCCCCTCAGGTGGTTTCCCCGTGGGCTGCCGTGGAGAAAAAAAAGTGATACGTGGAAAGTGGCGGCATGAGCAAGGCTGAGCCCAGGAGATTGTCACTGAGGACTGCAAAGTGCTATTGTTCGTTAATTATAAATATAGCTTAAGGACTGTCGCCACAGTCGTGCCTATTGTTGTATTATCGTCCACGGCCATTACCCGCTACTCCGCCCTACCAATGATTAAGCGCTTGCGCTGTGTTAAGTGAGCTAAACTAGTTTAAGGCGCGAGAGCGAAAGTCCTCTTAACTGTGACTGATGATTTACCGCTCGTTTCTTGGCATAATCTGTTTGGTGATTCATCACCGGCGCGGGTTTTATTGTACGCGGGCGCAGGAAGTGGCAGGCTGAAATGAAGCAATTAAAATTTGTTTGGAGGTTTTTTTTGGGGGGGGCAGATAACCGGTGTAATTTGTGTCACAGTTCCAGCTCCGTATTGTTTAACCGAAGGCTGAGGCGCGCGAGGAGCGATTGGGGAATTGTTCTGAGGCTCGTTTAATGCTAAATGAATCTTGTCTTATTGCGCTGGGTGTTGTCTGTTTTTTAAATGTTCGGGGAACTGAAGTGGGCTGAGGGGGGGGGTGACGAAGAAGTAGTTCAATGGACATGTAATTGGCCAGATGTGAAAGGGCATAATGTGGTGTAATTAACTGAAATATGGAAAATGTATTGGGACCCGTGCCAGTTCATTTATCCAGCCGTTCAATCATCCGTTTTGTAAAAAAAAAACGTCGGGCACGCGATTAAACTGGCGACGATAAATAAAAATGCGGCGGCCTTGTCACACGCGTGCGCGCTCGCTCACCGTCGCGTTGGCGGGGATGGGGGCAACGGATCAAATTTCGTGGCGGGCGTGCGGCACACGTCGCGTGGACCAAACTATTCAACAATTATCATATTTTTTACTGCCAAATGAGGTTCCCATAGTGTAGATGCTTGCCCCGAGCTCTCATACTCTGATGGTGCATTGTCTTTGAGTTGTGCGCCTTTTGGCGTCATCTGGTCCAACCCATATGAGACTAGGCTCGAAGGAAAGCTGTCTCGGGTGTGGACCAATCAACTTCAAGGACAGTGCACATTATCAGAGTTATGTTCTTTTGTTTGTATTATGACTGCAGGTATTGCGATCTATGCAAACATGACTCCTTGTAAAAAAGGTGTCAGTTTTTGTTGCCAGATAGAATGGGTAAAAAACCAATTATCATATTTTTACTGGCAAATGAGGTTCCCATAGTGATTTTTATTTGACCAGGTAATGCCCACTGAGCTATGTAGCTCCCTTTTTTTTCAGAAGCGACCTGGCCATCACAAATGATAGCTCAGGAAAGTGGCTTATTCATGGCGTGGAAATTTATAGCAGCCAACGCACGTTGATTCAAATTGTGGAGGGAAAATAAACGCAGGGCCCGGAGAAAAATCCACGCGGCCACGGGGAGAGAGACACCGCAAACTCCAAATATACAGCAGCAGGCATCAGGGTCGGGTTCGAACCCACGACCCCCGTATACCAGGTGAGGTAGTTAACATCTCCTAGCCACCGTGGTGATGATGAGAGAGAGAGACACGCAAACTCCAAATATACAGCAGCAGGCATCAGGGTCGGGTTCGAACCCACGACCCCCGTATACCAGGTGAGGCAGTTAACGTCTCGTAGCCACCGTGACTCGGGACAGGCTCACCGGTTTCAGTGACCCGGCAGAGGCAGTGAGCTGTGAACCGTCGCGTGTCTCCCCCTCTTTTGCGGCGCAGTTAAACCGGAGATCACCTACCTGGAGAACAAGACGACGTCGGAGCTGGAGGAGCAGATTGTGCTGACATGCGAGTCCGAGGGGGAGCCCCTGCCCACCATCACCTGGAGGAGGGTCAGCGACCAGCACGTGTTCCGCCAGGGGCAGCAGGTGGGAGAAGGTTCCGGAGGTCAAAGTTCATTCGCGGTTTTGCGGTCGCCCGGTTAGCTGTGAGGATATGAATATTGGAGAAGACCGTTTCTCAGTCTCGCCTTGCATAATGCTCAACACACGAGCGTTAGGAGCTGGTAACGATGGGTAACACGGGCTGTGTGTGATAATCCTGGACAATAACTAACGTGTGAACTGTGCCAGTTACGTGCTTGCTGGATACGGTTTGCATGACAATCGGCACCTAACGCTCCACTCTAAAGCCGTGTAATGAGACACTCCCGACTGCCGGGCTCTGCGGATGTTAACAATGAAGAACATAAAAACCTACAATGTAAAAAAAATAAGATATTTGGCAGCGTGTTTCTTTTTCTCTCTCTCGGTTGTTCCCCTCTTTATAACCACTCCCTGTCTCCTTACATAGGCATCTTGGACTCGTCCAATCACCAGACAGGTATACTCCCTGTGGCATCTACCGTCTGTGCCTCTCCTGAGACTCACCATCACCATCCCCCGACCCCCAACTCACCCCCATTTCCAATTAACACGACTCACCACAAAGTCCGCGTGCGAGACGTTTTGGCTAGCACTTAGCCTCGAGTAGCGTAGAAAGCAACTAACCAGCTTCTGGTCAACCTAAAGCCTCCTAATATGCGTATTTTAATTATTTTGCATATTGTGTTCGCTAAATAACCGCATGGTAGATGAGCCAGTAGATGCGTTACTAACAGAAACTTGTTATTAATCAGTCACCGTGTCTGTAGTTGTTATGACGGCGACGGTGATGATGACGATGATGCTGATGGTGTTGCACTATGTTGAATTAACGGCAGGGTTAATTAGAAAATTGTCTTTTGTTGTGGATATTTGTCACCAGCGGTATATATTGGCAAATTCTGCTGCCGCGAGGTGTAACATTCGGGAGTGTGATTTGACGCCCCGTGGTGAAAGACGGCCTCCCGTGGATAGAGCCCTCCAAAGGTCTTTTCTTCACACTTGTCAGTAGCAAGCGGTCGCTGTAGAGACCAGGAGGCATCACGAACGGTTGACGAGCAACACTTTTTTGACGTATTTACTACAATAGCAAGTGGAAGTGTGAGGTTTCACATCGAGAATTTCCTTGTAACTTCCAAACAGGGCCCACATATTGGGCTCTTGTCTCTTACATTACATAACAAATAGTCTTACATTTTTCACGTAGGGCAAAACATGCGGCTTTTGGTCCGGTGCTTAATTCCAAAAACTCCAACCTTCATCTCACCACGATGCAGCTGGCCATGCTTACGCTCGTCGTGAGACGTGTTCGTACTCTTGACGACTCAAGTTTGCACTTGAATGGAGAGGGCTGCCTTTCCGTAGGAGGGAGGAGCCCTATTCTGCACAGAACGATGCAATGCATTGTTAGTACAAATTGGCTTCAAACGTGGTCTTGCGACAAGACGATGTGCACGCGCTGGCTCGTATCGTATGTCACGGAACGTTGGGTAATTTAGAGGCAAAGTCCACAGCGGTTTCCTGCTCCAATGAGCATTGAGGCGGTGCTCATCCAACGCTCACAGCCCTGAGCAATCGGTGGACATCCCACGTTTCTATGCCGAGGGGTTAACCTATCCCATTGTGACAACCAATGTTGAATTGCCCACAAGCTGGTACCTATTTGATCGACCCCAGAGGGATGATAGGCTGGGTTATCCCGCCGCCCCAACCAGGATGAGAACTCGTAACCTTCCGATTAGCGAGCCGCTCGCTCTGCCTTTGAAGCCACCTGACAGGCGTTGGATTTTTTTTAAACTCGAATTTTAACGTCGACGTAAGTGTATGGGACAACGTAAGTGCAACAAACATTCACACACACAACGCAGAATAATACAAAATGCATCTTGGTATGGAAAGAAGAAAAGTGAAGCTGTTACCCAGAGGGTAAAATCAATTGCTCGACTTTTCAGTGAAATGCCTTCATTTTGACTGCACTTTGACCGGAAAGCGATTACTGGAAATGATTTTGAATTTGTAAAAATTTCAGAACATGCACAAATACACGTTGGGGTGGAGTGACGGTGTACCGTTGTTAGCATGCTACGCAATAAACCCAGCGATCTGAGCTCAATTCTCAGCCATGGCTAACATCAGTGGCGAGTATCTAAACCATCTTCTTGGTTCTTTCGGTAAAGTCACGTAGAAGGAAAATAATAATAATAATAATAAAATAATACAAATAAAACATAATAAAATAATTATGTCGACAGACCTGTTCTCCACCTGAAGACGGCTGCTTGCGTTGTGGCCGAAACGTCGTGAGAATTATTTAATTATGTTTTATTTTTATTATTTTATTATTTTCCTTCTATGTGACTTTACCGAAAGAACCAAGAAGATGAATCCCTGCAGTCACGAAAGCTTTAAATCGATATCTGAACCATCCTGGTCGACCCCCCCCCCCCCTTCACCAACCCACACTGACCAGCGTGGTGAAGTATAGTCAAACAACTCCGATGACCGATTATGCGGAGGAGGCCTTCATCCAGCAGTGGACTGACAAAGGCCTATTTATTTTTCACGTACACATAACTCGGTAACTTTAAGAAGTTACTACTGTACACATTGTTAGTGTATAAATCTATAGCGTTTGGATGTGAAGTTTTAAGCTGGGATGTTATTTTAAGTGTAATAATAATTTACTCAGCGGTTGCAAGCGTGCATAGCATCATTTATCTGTGAGTCACAGGACCCAAGTACATTTTCATCACACGGTGTTGAGTCAGAGTTCATTCTGTCCGGAAGGAGCCAGGGACCTATGGTATTAATCCTGAGATATGTTTGACTTATGACCTGTGACCTAGATGATGCTGAAGGGCAGCATACATGTTTCCATCTAACATATCTCATACAGGCTGGTAGCATTTAACCTGTCGGTGAACTTGATGAGATCACAGGTGAACAGGTGGTTGAGGGCAAATTACAAAATATAGGCTTCAGGTCACTCGTACAATGCAGTTCCATTCAGCATTGCAGATTAGAAAAGAGAATCGTTGCATGCGCAGGACTGGCTGGCACCACGCTGGATTTTCACATTGGGTGGATGTCGCTGCATGCAATGAGTCGATGCTGCCACAGTGGAACTCAACAATTCGGTCACGTGGTCGTGTCACGTGGCGCATGTGCGGACGACCGCTTCAGATGGCCGTTGCCTTAGCAGGCCACCCTAAACCCTCACTGGCTGGCCGGTTCACCTGGCGTCGACTTAGCGTTCCAAAGTTCGTCCGAGCCAAGGTGGCGGGCACGTTGGCGCCTTGCCACCACGACGGCCAGTCAAGTCAGACCTGAGTGGCCGTCGCGTGGTGAGATGTTAACTACCTCGCCTGGTATACAGGACGTCATGGGTTCGATCCCAACCCTGACACGCTGTGGCGAGGAGATGTTAACTCCCTCGCCTGGTATACACGGCGTCGTGGGTTCCATCCCTACCCTGACGTCTGCTGTATATTTGGCGTTTGCGTGTTCTCACCATGGTCGCACGGATCTTTCTCCGGGTCCTCGGGTTTTCCCCTCCGCATTAAGAATCGACACGCGTTTAGAGTATTTGTCTGCAATAAGTGTCCACGTGATGATAAGCAACCGCGTTGAGCTGTCATTTGTGGGAGCCAGGTCGCTTCTGAAAAAGAGCTACGTTGTTTAGTTACCCCTTGCCTGTTTCAAACAAAATAGAATCACAGTTTAGTTTTGAAGTGATAAACCTCACCTCTGCACTCAAGAGCTCATGGAACGCATATATATACACACACACTCGCAGCACTCGTACCTGCCGACCATCCGTCCACGTGCACACACCCGCCTGCATGCCAGCACGCCTGCTTCGTGTGACTTCTCCCTCTCACTTGTGCTAACCGTGGGGAGCCGTGGGAATCTGAGGAAGCACTAATTTCCTCGCCTCGGTGCTCGTTGCGATGCGCCTTTCGCGAGTTGCGAGCGGGGCGCGACGAGCGGACGACCGGTTGTTGAAAGAAATCGAACAAGCAGCGGCGGCACGAGCACTTCCACGGGAGGCAAAGTTGGTTTTCCTTAAAGGCGTTTTTCGGAAGCGCGCACTTTCACAGTTTCACGGTGGCAGTTGTGTGCCGTGCGAGGGGATGGGTTTCCTGCCGTCAGCTCTCCTCAGTTAAATGCGCAGTTGACAAAAGCTCCTCCCGGGGTTCTAGATGCAAGAGGCAAAACATAATTGTCACGATCACGTTAACGTAAAAATATATACCCATAGAATATTAGATACCCCATTGTGTGCATAACGGGGTATCACAACACACATATATAATCTGTGCATTCACACATTTTATATATATATGTGTTGAGAGCATATATAACATACATAACACACATTATATATGTGTGTTGAGCGTGATTGTACAGTTCATAATTGCAGTATGACATCAATCCTTCTGCAATTATTGGTGCATCTTAGAACTGTTTTCCTTATCAACCACAGATAATGTCGTTAAGCTTGCTCACGAAGTAAATGATTTTCAACTTAGCACTGAGTGCTACGTAACTTATCTAATGCCACCCAACTCTCTGGAAAATATTCACAAGAAAGCCTACGATTTAAAATAGTATTATGGATTATTTTACATCGATTACAAATTTTTAGGATGGCATATTATTATTTTTACGCTGCAGTCATCGTACAATTTTTATATGATGAATGATGTTCACTTCTGTTAAAAAAAACTAGGCTTTTCCATCAGAATGTCTGCACACACAATTTGAATATTGCTCTGTTACACCAGGGACTAATATGTTGCAGCTCAGTTGGAGGGCCTTCTCGCAAATTATTTCCATCACCATTAATAACGCACGCATAAATGGCTGAACCCGCAGTGAATTTCCACATACGATGCACGTTTCTTTGTTGTCTCACCGCTCATAAAATACACAAATAATGAACTCCGCGTGCATGTTCCACATAAGTCGTGAGTAATTAAGCCGTCGCACCCACACTAACCCCACGGCCACATGCATACACGCGCATTGCTCGTGCAGGAATAATATTATACGCAGTGGGAGCAAGTCGATTCCAATTAACCTGTTTCTTATGCTCTCAAATCTTTCGACTATGGCAAATAGACACATTTGTATTATTATAATTAAGATATACATATATACACATTAAATAATGCATGTATGTTGAACTTATTTTCCTCCGTACATAGCCAACCGTGCTAACCGGAGGTGCCGATGAAAGATAACATACTAAACACAAAAAGCAGTGTGTGTTAGTGCTTCGAGGAATTCGTTATCATTCTAGGTGATTTTAAAGTGCACGGCTTCCAGTGGCTTCCTAACATTGGAAGGAGAAGAGCGTTCCAGACGGCCGCCGCAGAAGTGCGTCTGAAAAGCGCGCGACTGGCAGTGACCGTCTTTGTTAGCAACAGAAAAAACGTGTTTGCCTTTGAGTCTGATGACCGCTTTATCCATGTATATATCTGCGAAGGGAATTGAGTGCTTTCTGAGATCTCAGCTGTGGCCCCCTCCCACCCCCCTCGGGTGATCATTGTCATTCTCTCTGCGTGCCGCCCCCCCCCCACTGCTTTTGTCTTGTGGGCGGGCGGGCGGGCGGGCCCTGTGCAACCCGGACAACCCTGCAACCCACCCCCTCACCCCCCCCCCCAACCCGTCCTTGTGTTGACGCGTGCAAGCCATTCGCGAATCGCCGAGCGCTTTTGCTCGCTCGCCTCGAGATTTTGAGTGCCGTGCCAGAAAACTCTGGGGGCCTTGTGGTGGCAAAGCGCGGCGAGAAGGAGAAGAGGAAGACGAAGAAAAAAAAAACCTGTTCCTGACAATGTCAGGGCATAGCGAGTGGGTTCATTAAAAAAATGAATCCATGAAAAATTAGTGCGAAGTAAAACAACGTATGGATTCTATGTATATATTTATATATATATATATCTTGTGCCACTTGTGACAGGAATAAGCCATCTGTGAAATGTCACCTCTCAGATGATATTTTTCACAGAAGTGCATTTCTCTATTAAGCCGCTCGAAAAAAGTTTGCCTCGGCAAAGGAGGAATACATTGGCTCCATAATGTGAGTTACAATCACGCGGACCGACATCAGTCACGGCCACCGCTACAATTGGTGAGGAGGGTGACCTGAACGGATCCTGGAGCCCCCGTTCACTCTGCTCAATTCCGCCTCCCCCAGTAGCCCCCCTCTTTGGGAACCTGCACTGACCAGAGTGCTCAAGTTTGTGGCAAAATCCCCTGACTGACATCTCCATGGATCGACAAAGTGCTGTCTTTCGTCACGGTTACTATTTCTCTGCGGCCACGAGGGCATCCTGATCACGTTTCACGATTTTATTTCTTCGTAATGACTCTGGCCACTACTGTGTGGGAGCCTACTATGAGACGTTAAGAAATGCGAGGCAAATGGGAGATGTGATGTTTGATGACTTTAACGCATTTGAAAAGGAAATATTTTCCTGAATCAAAATAGCTTATGATGACATATATAAGATACCGTCTGATATTTGCTGTGGGTTATGATTTATTTTTTATTTTTGTAGGTGTTGTGTTCATTGTTTCTTTAAAATGTTCCTATGAATGATGGGTTCTTTTATAGTCCTACCTTTGCTTTCATTTTTCGATTGCCTACAGTTATACAGATTGAGTGTGGTTTGAATGGCCAACACTTATGTAGCTGGGCTATCTATAATATATTTTCATGTTGCCAATTATAGTCATACAGTCATTGTCAGCGTTTCACAAAGAACATTCCTCTCCAAAGAGCAGTTCAGCTTTTTAGTTCATTCAATCAACGGTGTAGGTTTTGACGTGAAATTGACGGAGTCGTACGTAATTTTTTTTGCCAACTAAAATTGACATTAGTTTCACTCACCTTGACGACGAATGAAGACCAATGATTTTGATTTTCGGTTTCAATCCTCGGCTCTGCTTCCTCTCTCACGGCGAGTAGCGTTAAACTTTGGTTCCGCTGACATTTGAAAGGACGCTGACATTTTTTAGTGAAATAACTCTTGCCCAAATGACTTTTACTGCCGGATGTTCGGCACTCGCTTTGATCGCAACCAGAGCCGTCGCCAAACTGCGGCCAAAATTTTTAAGGCCTGCAGTCGCAAAAGGAAAACCGTTTTCATCATTTAAGCTGCGCCAAATTCCGTATTTTTAAAGAGAGAAACTTACCGACGCTCGACTTAAAATTGCAGAATCCTTTCCGAATTTACGAAAAAAAAATGTTATTTCATACAAAGGCCGCGCGTAACCGATTTACCCAACCCCAACAAACGCTCCTCCGAATGCGACGCCTCTCATCTTTCCTTCGTCTCTCCCCGCTCGTTTTTTTTGTTCGGTTTTTATTCTCCCCCTTTTGTGCGTAGACGCTGGAAGGCCGCATTGAGGTGCGCTCCTACGCCAAGGTGTCCTCGCTGACGCTGCGCGACGTGCAGTACACGGACGCCGGCGAGTACATGTGCATCGCCAACAACAACGTGGGCCAGGCGTCGGCCGCCATGCACCTCGACGTGGCATGTAAGCCGTGCGCCTCGTGCGCGTACGTGCGTGTGTATGTTCGCGCGTGAGCATGGAGAATGAGGCTCGTGAAGGACGCTACCGGTCGGTTGGAGGCAGTCGCCCTCCAGCAACAACGGGGGGGGCGGAGGAGCGACGCTCTCAACAACAACGAGCGGACCACTGGGCGGCTAAAATGCAGCGAGTTTGCACAGTTGGGGGCACAGGTGGTGCATCTGCCAGTCGTCTCGGTCAAGTCAACCCATGGCACCTGGGCCTGTCCCGTCACCTCCTGTCAACGAGCCTCCAATACTTCACGTGGCCTCAAAGTGCGGCTGGCCTGGCACAGGTGCCGTGGGTGACGTCACCGTCACTTAGTGGCGAATGGCGCGGATATTGACGTTGGCGGCATGTGAATTCATGATTTCGATTTTATTTATTTCAGCAGGAAGGGCCCGATGAGCCGTTCGGCTCTATTTCGCGCGCGTCCTGCGACGGCACAGGTGTTTATACAGCACGGACCTTAGTTACAGTCACGGCTGCAATCGGTCGCGGGTACGTGCGCGCGCGCAGATGGGCCCAAGTTCGCCGGAGAAAAGGTGACTTACCACAGCTGGCCGAACAACGCGGTGAACGTGACGTGCGAGGTGCTCGCCAACCCGAAGGCGGCCGTGAGCTGGAGTCGCGACGGGCAGCCGATCCCCAGCGCCAACCTCACCAACGTGATCGTGCACAGCTTCCCCGGCTTCAGCGTGCTCGAGGTGAGCGAGGGGCTCCGTGGCGCTGGCACTGGCACCGGCGGCTGCGTGTGGTGCGAGCGAGCGAGTATTTGTAAGTGCCTTGTGCTCCGCGTGAAAACATCAGCATTGGAGAGACGAAGACGGGTGGGCGTGATGCTGGCCACACATGTTGGAGGTAGTTCTGTGATGTCTCCTTCCGTGGACTTTGTTCTCCAACAAGAGGCTTTACTAAAAGAGCTCTGAATGGACTCTGTCGCAAGGAGCAACGCTGATGGAATTATTTGAACGAAGTTTTTTTTTTTAAATGACGCATCTCATAAGACACTGTCCATCGTGTGTGCGGTTCATTACAGATTACACCAGAGTCGCAGTCTGACTTTGGAAGCTACAACTGCGTCGCCGTCAACAACATTGCGAGCGAGTCCAAGGAGTTTGTTCTGGTGGAAGCAGGTGCGTTTGTGCGTGCGTTCATGTGCGTGTGCCCGTGTGTGAAGATCGGTAGTGTAGCGGTTAGCGCGCTGCGCTATGAACCTGGCGACCCGGGTTCGATTCCCGCTCACGGCTAACACCAGTGACGATTATCTGAACCGGTCCTGGGCCTCCCCTAGGTCGACTCAGCCTTAAATGAGTACCTGGTGCGGTGTGTAAACATCGCCACTGGGAAGACAAAGGCGGTCGGGCGTGGTGCTGGCCACCCACCCCCTCGTTCGTGTACCGTTCTGGCCTTCATAGGTGCTCGCTAACAGCACTTTCCCCTACAGTCTGTTAAGGCTATACGGGGGATCTTTGTCTTTATCTTTGCCCGTGTGTGTGCCCGTGCATCTGCAACTGAGATTCACTCCCTTGCGTGCCTTTAACCAGCCAGCATGAGGATTCACCGTATTAGCATGATCGTGTGTGTTTACCCAGAAATGCCTCTCACTGAGACCCTTTCAGGAGTTTATGTTGGAGTAGGTGACGATGTTGCTGCGTGTTATCCCAATTGAGTAATTTACATGTCATTTTTGGGAGGAATTGGGGTGTTCGGCCAATACCGGTTGACATTGTTTCGTGTTTTTTTCTGTCTAACCGTTCACTCCCTCAGCGATTCAATGAATCGTCATGATTGCTGATCGCGAATTGATTCGAGAACGTTACTTATTTACGTCTTGTTTTTATTTGGTGTTTGAACAATCTTAAAACTTGTTTTGTTTCTAGAAAGGGAAAAAACGTATTCTCAATTTTTCTGCACAACATAACTGCGTGAATTGTAACACGGGAGCCAACCCCCTTCCTCCTTCCTCACCCGTCGATCGCACCGAAGCTGCACTTGACACCCTCTCGCCGAGCCTTGATGTCGTTTCCCATTTTCGCGCGCGTGTCCCCCCCGCCGCCCCGCGCAACAGCCCTGCCGTCGGCCCCACAGTCGGTGAAGGCCACGGCGGTGTACTCCACGTCAGCGGAGATCACCCTGGAGGAGCCCGATTACACGGGCGGTGTGCCCATCCTGACGTACACAGTGCGCGTGCGTCCCGCCAATGGCCTGAGCGAGTGGACCAGCTACTACTTTGGCGGCAGCGAAAGTGGGTCGCCGCTCGTTTGCTCGCTCGCTCGCTCGTTCGGTTTGACGGTCGCCGAGTCGCGCGCTTTCTGGAGCGCTTCTGCGGCCGTCTGGAGCGCTCTTCCTTCCGATATTAGGAAGCCACTGGAGCTATGCACTTTTAAATAATCATCTCGATTATACACTCATTTATTGAGAACTGCTTTGTGTATTTAGTTTGTTGTTCTTCCCCCACACGTCCAATTCGCACGGATGTCTACGTAGAGTGTGAAAGAAGTTCAACGTACGTACATACATTCGCTCGTTCTGCCCGTTTGTCCGTTTCACATTTGCAGATTCCCGTTGGCAGTGACGCTAATTTTCTTGTGCTCCTAGTTCAATTTTTATTGTTTGCGAAAAATAATTAAGAAATTATAAATTCCTGTGCGATGTGTAATTTGTGTAATTAATTTAACCGATTTTTTTTTTATTATCTATATTTTTAATTGCAAAAATAATCATCCATAAGCCATTAAATTTCGAATTGAATTTTAAATCAGTTTGGAACTATGAAAGTGTTTTGTTTGTAGATTACTTCTTTAATATATAAACATTCATATCTGAATTATAAATCACAATTCAGCGTATAAATGTTGCAATAAATGCACGCAAGTCGTTAGATGTATAATGGAATTATGTATGAGCTTTAAAGTATCTAACTGTTGTTTTATCTCAGAATGTTGTATAATATCACCAAAGTGAGAAATAGTTCAACTTTAGGGGTAGTATTGATCGGGCAGGTGGTGGGTCTTTACCACGACATCTTAGCCATATATTTATATTGTAAATAATGTGCCGATTTGATCGTGGTTCATAGTTTGCCTGCACTTTCAGTTTAAAATAGTGTCCGGTCAAGTAAATGAAACCGACCCTATATTCGAAATATTCTCTGCTAAATGTACCTTTTTGTCATAACGGTGTTGTACTGCCTTGACATCCGATTGCCATCAATTCTTCATGCAGTCATTTCAGGATATCTCTTATCACTTCCTCATCACCTTTTTGCCAACTTGCACCCATTTTTAAACCCGTTCAAACCGTTGCGCCACCCAAATAAACACTTCCGCGAGAGAGCGACAGAGAGACGCATTTCGCGAAACTGGCATTGCCTTTGAATTTCAAGCAGTTTGACGTTTCTCTCCGCCCACAAGCGCAAGTAACACGACGCGCTTGAACGACATGGCACATGGTTCGTGGCCATCTTAGAATTGCCCCTGTGATGTCGGTTCACGTAGGAGACCACAGTTTTCACCACCCCCCCCACCTCTCCGGCCACTCCGCAATTATTCGGAGTGACTTGCCATTCTTTTACAATTATCCGGAACTAATAGCGCAGCCGGCATTGAACCCACCTCATGTAAAAAAGGGGGGGGGGGATCATGCAATATATATTCCGCACTGCAGGAAGAATATGTATAGCGGCTACCAGTTTATTTGAACATACTTACTGTGAACAGTAAAATATATATTTTTCCTAATAAGGCTAATTCATGTGTGTATGCTGAACTTCTTTCGCATCATACATAGCCGACCTTGCTCATTGGCGGTGCGGGGGAAGGACAGCAAACTTAAACACTCTTAATGGGGCTCCTAAATAGGATTAATAATTAGATTCTGCAATGAATCCTGAACTTTTCAATCTCCCCTCCCCGTTTGCACGGCATAACGAGTCGGCACTTTGCAGTCGTGTGACTGACGAATCGAACGGATGCTCCGAATTCGGTGCACGCACGTCCGTCGATACGCAATCTGCGTGAGTACGGATAGGCAGAGGGGGTTGGGGCGCGTTTGGGCTTCGGGATACACGCTGCGGTATAGAGGCCAGACATTACCTTGGGAGCTGCGCCTGTCCACTGCTGTGTGAGCCGGGCCTGACCACAACATCAAGCAGTGTGCAACAAGTAATGGGAGATTGTGTTGAAAATACAAGTTGCCAGAGTCGTGTCATTCTCATGAATTAATACCCACAATGTTTCAATCGGTCCGATGAAAGGTTATTGAGAAAAAGATAAGCCGCAGTTTTGCGGCATCACTCAGACTTTATTTATTCTGGAGGAATCCGATGAGCTAGGAAGCTATTTTTCACACATGGCCAGTCGGTCTCTACCTCTCCCTCTGACTTCATACGCCTGCCTAATATGCCTGTACCGCTGAGTTTTCAATTAATTTTGTCCGTCTGTGCGTGGGTGTGTACGTGTGTGTGCTGACGCGTGGGGAGCAGACACAGTGAAGGTGACCAACCTAGAGCCAAACACCCACTACATGGCGGAGGTGTCGGCCCGTAACGGCGTCGGGGACGGTCCGTTCACCAAGCCAACCTTGTTCTACACGGAGCCCATCCGTAAGTCCGGCCTCCGGGCCTTGCTCACTTCACACGACACCAGAGGACGTTCTGCCAGTGAATCCTGCTTCGCGTGACACTTGTCTGATGGGGCAGCCACTGGCAAAAAATAATTTTGTGAATGTGCGACACAGCTGCTATCGCTTGGGTTCTACGGCGTATCAGACTGAAATCGTTCAAGGGACTGTCACTGTCTGTGACGAATGTCTCAGTTTCTTACGTAGCAAAATTTCATTAAGCTTTTGTGGGTATTTTTTTTACTATCATGAGGTTAATTTATTTTTCATGCGTCACCATTCAAAATATGATTCCAATGTTTTTTGGCTAATTATTCACTTCATTATGTTTAGAGTGATTATCGTTTTTTACTGGTGATTACAGCTGTCCGTATGAGTGTGCAGTGTTGTTTAAGAAGTAGGAATTTTGTTTCGTAGAGGAATGGGTGGAACACAGCCTGAAGTGATATTATTTGTGCTGATTATATAGAGTGCACGTTTAATCTACATCTCTGTGCATGACAAAGATTGTGCCGATGATAAAAGCAAGGACCGATTTAATCCAAAGCCCCAAATGGTATTATTATTATTATACCATTTGTTATCTACGTATACTTCACAATGAGTGGTGCCTTGGATTAGGTCGGTCCTCGCTTTTATCATCGGCACAATAATTATTAATAATACTTCAATAATAAGACCATTAATAATTATAATACCATAACAATACTATTATTAATAATACTAATTGTGTTATATATTTTTGGGGGCCATTGTGGTATTATTCTGAAAACCCCAACTGTCTTTAATTTGCTCCATTTGTGAGAATTGTTCATTGCAAAAAAAAAAATTGCATAAAAATACTGTAAACTATTCCGATCTATCCACAGGAGCATCCTTAAATGAATTACCTTTGAACATTTCAGCCATGGGTGGATTTGACAGTTAACATTAAATGGTAATCTTAGTGGACAAGACCGGTGAAGGAATGGCAATCATAGGAGAGAGAAAGCATCCAATAGGATGACCCCTGTGGTGCGGTGACCTCTGTGGTGCGGTGACCTCTGTGGTGTGATGACCTCTATGGTGACCTCTGTGGTGCGGTGACCTCTGTGGTGTGGTGACCTTTGTGGTGACCTCTGTGGTGCGGTGACCTCTGTGGTGTGGCGACCTCTGTGGTGCGGTGACCTCTGTGGTGACCTCTGTGGTGACCTCTGTGGTGCAGTGACCTCTGTGCTGCGGTGACCTCTGTGGTGCGGTAACCTCTGGTGCGGCGACCTTTGTGGTGTGGTGACCTCTGTGGTGACCTCTGTGGTGCAGTGACCTCTGTGGTGCGGTGACCTCTGTGGTGCGGTGACCTCTGTGGTGACCTCTGTGGTGCGGTGACCTCTGTGGTGCGGTGACCTCTGTGGTATGGTGATGGAGAGATGATGCCATGTGCAGGAGTGAGCTCGGTTCTGGCATTGCATCACCGCAAATGATGGTGGCCGGGTTGAGTGGCCTTCATCCAGCAGTGAATAGGAAATGGTGACCGTGATGCTGATAAACACACGTTACGTACGTTAGCTGCTATGCACGTAACGATTCATAGATGAATGTGATGGTATACATGAGCAGTGATCCAAACGAGACTCAACCCGAGACAAAAAATCATTCCTGAATTGAATCGTGACCATGAGTCACAGCACTACCTCAAATGTGTGAGATGGAATGGTTAAATCATCAGTACGTGATAGTTAATTGCGCGTCTATTCATGATATTAGCTTTTAATTCGAATATTGCCATTTGTATATTCAGGAAAACCTGTGATTCAGGAATCTTTTTTGTTCAGGAATTTTTTGCATTGGCATATTTGTCCGATTCCAGTGTTGAGTGTGTTTTTATGTTGTGCTTAACGGTGCAGCAGAGTGGTTCGCCATGCCAAGTGGTCACGTGACCTAAGCGTTATGCCATTAAATAGTTGAATACGCTAGCCACAAAGTATTTCCTAAAAAGTACATTTTGCTCCAATGCACTTTATTTTCAAGAGGCCGTCGCCTTACATTGCAAGAGAATTATCTCCTTGTGTGTTGTGCTGAAATCGTTCAAAATTAGAAAAGGCACCAACAAATGGCATTATTATAATATGAAAAAACACATTTTAACAAAACCTGGCTGAACGGAAACAATTCTCTATGAGAATACAACGCAAAATGCAACGGTTTCGAACGCCTACTTACAAGAAGACCTTTTCATTTGTATGCAAATGCACGTACAATATTATCACGATTAATCTAAGAGAGAGAGAGGGAGGGAGGGTTTCAGAAGATGCAGTGTTCCTTACGTAGGCTTAATAATGAATGAATAGCAATCTCTATGGCGTTGGGACTCAGACCCATCATATTTAATTACCTTTGGAGCTCCAAGCTCATCCAGTCATTGTTGCGAGAAATTTATGCTCTTGATTGCTTCCTCATTAAGCATTCGTGAGCACTCATCTTGATAGTCAATTCAAACAAGAAAAAATAATTAAAAAAATGTAAACGGTTGCAAAAGTGCTCAATTGAGAATATGGTACTCGTAAGGAAGTGCGCAAAAAAAATCTACATAGAGCGCATTGTTGTTATCGTCACTGTCACCTTGGGGAGTGGAGCAGTGTTGGAATGGTTAGTTTACTGTGTTACAGCCCGGTGACCTGAGTTCGATTCCAAGCTCACGTGGGTGGCGACTGATATCTGAACCAGTCCAACCCAACCCCCTCCCCTTCGCCACTTTCACCAAACCACATTGACCGGCATGGTGAAGTATGGTCAAAATATCCCCATGGCAGACACGGCATGCGTGGTGGTCTTCATCCAGTAGCGCAGGGGTCGGCAACCAAAATAACAAGAAAAGCCATTTCTTTCCAATTCGGTACAAAATTCAGTATTTCAAGAGCCGCAATGCATTTGAGTACATACGTACATATCGTCAAGAAGCAGCCCGTAAAGAGCCGCATGCGGCTCCGGAGCCGTAGGTTGCCGACCCCTGCAGTAGCGTATTAACATCTTACGATGATAATTAATAATGATTAGTAACAACCCAATGACCAATTCGCCACGAATGTGAAAATCGCTCGGTTTCACCCAAGATCTAGAAACCTAAGCAGGGTTGAGCCCAGACAGCGCTTGGGATTGGCGACCGCAATGCGTCGTACAGGGTACGGCAGTACCCCGATTTACGTCTGCACCAAGAACGTGTCGTCACTTCATTATTATCACTACTACGCCCCGTTCCGCGTCGCCTCAACCCCACTCGCTCACGTCGCCAGCGGCGCCATCCGTCCCTTTCTTGTTATCCATCGCCTCTCAGCCTTCGCCACCACCACCACCAACTACTTCTACTACTACCACCCTGTCAGTCGCTTCGTTTGACTTCATCTCGATATTCATCATCGCGCCTTTCAGGAACGCATCCCCTCCCGACGTAAACCGGTAGGGAGGTCATCTTCTTGGTTCTTTCGGTAAAGTCACGTAGAATGGAAATAATAAAACATAATAAAATAATTCTCACGACGTTTCGGCCACAACGCAAGCAGCCGTCCTCAGGTGGAGAACAGGTCTGTCGAAGAGACAGAGTCTGAATTCTTTAAACCGGTAGGGAGGTATCGAAGTATCGGGCGATATAGGCTGTGGGGCCACGTGGCGGGCAAGAGAGAGCAACGCATCAAAATCCATAGGTGTTCCGTAACATCTGTTCTCGCGCGTCTGTGCTCCCCACTTTCACCGGCGCGCACTGACCGGCGGTGGTGGTGCACTCGACACCCACAACCCCGTGAACCACCACGGTGTGGGGCCGGGGTGGGTGGGGGGGGGGGCATCCTTCGTTTTCAAATTTCGCAAAAACATTGTCGCTGGCATGTTATGCCAAAATACTTCTTTTTATGTGAGCAGAAAGAGTTTTGAAAAAACGATCCTTTTGCAGGGAGAACACACGGTGACAGTGAGCCAGAGCGATTTTGGCAATGACAAGCAAAACATAAACGTCGCCTCTGCCAACACTTTATAACTTTGTGTGTATGATTTTTGTTCTGATAATTATTCATTTCCCATCCCTCTCCCTCCCTCCGTCCCTCTGTCCTTCTCTCTGCCCCCCCCCCCCCCACCCCATTCTGTCTCCCGACTTGTAATCTAGCGTCTTCATACCGTTTCAGTAAGTAGCCTTGTGTGTCGCTTAATGCCATAGGCGCACAAGCGTTAAGCAGTAGCATTGTGCGTCTTAAACACAACACCACGGATCATTGCGCTTAGCTCTAGTAGCAGCCTCTTGAATTATACGACCGCCCAGTTCCATCTCTCTGCATCAGGCTTGAACAGGTGAAGCGTTTGGTCTCATTCCTCCATGAGCCTTAGGCTTCACAATAGTCGATCTTCCCCCCCCCCCCCCCCCCATCGTCTCTCGTGGCTGACGTTGGCTACTGAGCGTGGCCATTACACGGTTACCTGCATGCGTGTGGGAGGAAGATTTCACATTGTGAAACATTTTATGGAATGATCTATACAACAATGATCCCCAGTGATCCCCCGGTTTTTTAGCCAATAAAATTGCTGGGTGAGTTCCTTTCAGCAAGCGCCTGTTAAAGCCAGTGTGGCACGTGGATGATTAGCGTGGCTCCAGTGCCACACCCAGCCACCTCCCGTTTCCCCAATGCCAATGTCTTTATTGCGTGGCATTGGAAAATACATTTTTGGCTGAGTTAACCTAGATGAAGCCGACAACAGCTTCAGACACCGCTTTACAAGTGGTGTGCATCACGGCCACAAATTGAGCCTGGAATCCCTGGGATGGTAGCACAGCACGCTAACCATTACACCGCTACGTACTCTATATGAACACGTGCCTCATATATTCCCATAAACACGTATATTAGAGGTGTAACAATGCATAGACGCATCATTCTCAAGGGTCAGGATACATGCGTCAAATTGCGTGTGTAAAAATTGCCGTCTTGTTTTGTTTCACGTATTCAAATTATTTTATAACATTTGCAATTAGGGCACGGACGGCAACTAATGTACATACGAGATCGGGGATGATCAATTCTTGCGTCTAAATCACCGTAGGATTGAATTGCTAGGGAACTTTTCATTCATTTAGGCAGGAAACGCTTGCCCAAGAACGCTTGCTCTGGGCAGAACGTGCAATGCCAATTGCTTGTGTGCTGTGCGGTTGAGCGTTTTTGTGTTTTTTAAGCGGCGACTTCGGTGTGAGTGCAGCTCGCGGACGCGGAACGGCCCCCGTGTTTTTGCAAGCATCTGTTGGGTGCAACTGCAGGCAATGATGTGCCTCGCATTGGCAATCATGGTCGTTTTGATTCTCAAGAGGCTTAACAAACCAAGCAGCAGGCTTTGTGCGTACGCACTCATCATTCCACCACCCACTTTCTGTGCCTAACCACCGCCCACCCAGCTTTGCTTTCATGTGTGGTGTGATCGTGAGTTTTTACACGTCTGTGACCATGAAGAGTTGATTCATCTTTTTAATGCAAACATTTAACGTATGAAATGAAACAAATGTGAAATACACATTTTTTTTAAAATCAGGTTTTAGGTCGGGTGGGTTCAGGCTCCTCGAATAAAATCGAGGTTCATGTAGCTGTGATTAAACCAGGTTCTGTGAGTTTATGATCTCAGCCTGGTCACCAATAACTGGGCATGAACACACAAACACATCGTTTGGTTATTCACGTAATTTGGATTAATACCAACTGTTGAGAATGCAAACATTGGTATGACTGTCATACGACAAACAACAATATGATTCGTATTTCGTTTCTGTTTGGTTAAATCTTGGAGGTATAGGGGTAATGTTTTCGCCATGTAACCCTCCACCACCCAAAAAATAAAATCAAGTTTGTCACGTGATGGGAAAATATGCCATTTGATTTATCGCTTTATCATCAAATCTGTGGAAATGTTTAAAAGGCTAGCAAAGCGTTGACAATTTGTATTGTACAACGATTTGCTGGAGATGACATCCCAGCGTCATCTGGTGTTCACAAAATGTCCGCTGCCGCGACAGTTGAACTTTTAATATTCACGTGAAACTTACATCACAAACATTTCGTTTTCTGAAAGCGTAATTCTTATCAGGCCTCGTGGTGTAAGCAATTGCAGTCTCCAACTATTATCATCCACTCGGGTCTCCCTGGCCTCTGTTGTTTATGCAATTTAAAAGGGCCTTTTCCTGAAACGTCAAACTTTTTTTTACACTTTTAAGACCCCCCCAGCATTATTGTACGTACACATGTTGAACTCTTTTCGCACCGTACGTAGCCAACCGTGATAATCGGAAGTGCGGTTTGTATGTACGTATTTTGTACTCTTTTCGTACCGTACGTAGCCAACCATGCTAATTGGAGGAGCAGGGGAAGGGCAACACATTAAACACTAAAAGCAGTTCACATTTATAATTGACGGATATTTTTTTTTAATTGTGCACCACTGGCAGTGGAGCATCGCTAAATTGTTTGTGTAAACATCGATTCTCTGTTTTTGCTGCACGGCACTTGATTGTGCGTACGAACTAGGATTTGGAAGAAACCCCCAAAAATATACGGTTTTTATTCAACATTTCTTTCATGTGCACATGGCTAAAAATACGTAATTTAAAGCTCGAGTTGTGCAATTTCAGTTTAGAAGAATTTACAATATTCATGAAAACTGTGTTTTATTTTTATATGGCACCTATTAAAGACGTCTTCTTCACTACAATCTTGGCAAACTTTTGCTTTGCTCAAAATGTTTTTCTCAAAAGTATGCAGCATCAAGCCATTCCTCTTCCACTGCCTGTTTTTGCAATGAAAACAACGCATCCTAACATGCGCTTGCTTCGCTTTTGTGTGAAGCAAAAAGCCAGAGGGGGAACGCCTTGAAATCAAGCATCGCGCAAAGAGTGAACAACAAAAAAAACTCCTGCTTTTTAAAATAATAATTAGAAGCTACTCGCAGACTTTCTCACAATGGACCACAGCATTTCGACGAAACGGTTCTTCCACGCTCGCATGCCTTCTTTGCAGCCCAGCTCCTGGGGAGAGATGTGCGCTCCGTGAGCTATCGGTGTGGCAGAGCATGCGCCGTTGATCACACACCCCGCTAAGACTAGAGAAACTTGAAACAAAACCCGCTTGTTTGAATTATGGACTCTTCAATTCATTTACTTGACAATTTTCTTTCTCAAGTGGATACAGCCGCGCTCCCTTCAGTCGATCGCTTTCAAGAGGTCGTCGTGATCTTGGAGAGGTTTGTGCGCGGCCAAGCTTGGCCAAGAGCCTCGGCAGCAGTTGCGTCCGATGGCTGGAACGGAGCATCGAAGCCTTTTCCGAGTAGTCTCGTTGGGCCTGGCAAAGACGTCGCCAGCGGCTTCCAGCTCAAACGTGCCATCCGCAGCGCCGGTGAGGTTCAAACCGGAGCACCACGTAAGTCCTTTTTCAACAGGATCTGCTCACACTGCCACTTTATACCACAGACGCATCTACATTAAGTGCATTACGCATTTTTTTTAAATGTCATTTGGATGGGGAGGGAGGGGGGCAGGTCGGGGAAAAAAAAAAACTTCTCATTATTTAATTGCTACTTTTTAATTTGTAATCAGCCGATATGTGTTTGCTTTTTAACAACTGTAGTCAATAGTCCAAGTACCCATCCAACCACGGGTGACCTCGACGCCACCGATGATTCCACGGTGCCCCAGTCACATGACGTCACAAGTGACGGATTCCCGTCGCCAACGCGGGGTGGTGACGAGGCCCCCGGTGGTGTCACCGCGGACGCAGCGCCGCAAACCTCACCGGAATCTCCCACGGCACAAGGAGGCCCATTTCCCTCGACCCCTGAGCTAGCGGTTGTGTCGGAGCCTCCCACTGCCTTACCGCAAGAAGCAGCCACAATGCAAAAAGAAGCCACAACGCAAGAAGAAGCCACAACGCAAGAAGCCATAACACAAGAAGTAGCCACAACGCAAGAAGCCATAACGCAAGAAGCCACAGCGCAAGAAGCTGTGACCCTCTCAAGTGTGACTGAAGCAATCCCCGCGACATCTCCGAGTGCCCCTGAGCACACCGTGGGAATTGAAGGAACCATGGCTGAATATTCTCCATCTGCCGAGCCAACAGCATCCTCACCACCACCCCCGTCCACGGAGCGCACGGCGACCGTGCCTGACGGCCTTGCTTTTGCTTCCGTGACGCCTTCCGAGGAAGCAACTACCCATGGCGTGGGAGATGGTTCAGCCGGAACCACGGCCACTGCGCCCACATTGACGGATCTCACAGGGCCGCCCCCTCGGTTCAGTGGCACGACGGAGCTCTCGGTTTCCACGGAAGCGTCTGGCAACACCGCCACCGCCGCCCCCTCCCTCGACGTCACGACGGAGGCGCCGCCGCTCGGCCACTCCACGCACTCGGAGTCTTCTCCGAGTCCCAGGGCCCTGTCTCCGTCCACCGCCGTCGCCGCGGCCGTTGAGGTCCTCGATTACACGGTGACATCCGCCGCTCCTCCTGGCACCGACGATGCCACCCAGTCCGAGCTTTCGGCCAGCGACGTAGCCGGGCACGTCACGGAGCCCACGACGGAGAGGGCGACGGAGAGAAGCACTTTTGTCGGCGGGCTCGTCCCGTTCCGCGACTCTCTTGCGGAGTCCGTCTCGCAAACCACGCTCGTGCCGGTCGCCGAGGTCATCGTGCCGGCGAGCGCCGCGCCGCCAAACCAAAACCTGCAGGCCGTTCCTGCGCCGGGGCATGCGGCGACGATGGCGACGACGACGCCGGCTTCCGAGGGGAGCGTCTTTGATGTCACCGTCTCGGAGTTGCTGGGGTCAGGTCCTCTTCCGGCAGAAGCCGTTACGGCAGAGGTTGTGTGTAAGTGATGCTTTAATGCATTGCGCTGTGTGCTTGAGCTTCTTTCTCATTTTTTCGTGAAATAAAATTTGCAGAGACTGTGGAACTGCTCGAGTAGAACTGTAAAAAAAAATCTGCACTATCAGGCTGTGTTTCTGCAAAAGCACAGCTGACGTTAGCTTAAAAAGTGAAGGCATGCGACCAATCAACATTGGCATGTATAGGGCGCACGCTGAAATAATTGACCGACTGGAACTCGAAATGCTAATTAAAAACACGCCGTTCTTTAAATTAAAATAATTTCAGCTTTGCGTTT